GATCAAACTTTTGACAGTGAATGTCAAGGTATCGATCAATTAAAAATAATTATAATGGTATCGATTGCTATCTCAGATCCTATTTAAAAAAATGTTCATTGAACGATTTCAATGCCAAAATAATGTGTTCAAAAGTTTTCATTATAACGTTACCAAATATAGCTTCATTTAATTTTTTATACATCATAATGTTTAGACAAAACTTACTCTATTGAGAAAACCTCTTCCGACGCGTTCAGCATTAACCCATATTTGCCATTCTCCAGTTTTACCGTTCCAACTTTGACAAGTATGATACCATTTTCTAGTTTTCATAGGGTAGTTCAGTCTATAGAAAGTTTGTCCAGCTATCGACATAGTGATATAACTCGATTGTTCGGAATTTGAGATCCAAGAATAGATTTCCCTAGGCTGTTTGCTACCTGAAACAAGTAGTTTTTGTATGCAAAACCGTTTGTAATTGAAGGTCAATATAAATACACCTGTTATATAACGTGAGTCGTACTTACTTCCGTAAGAAAATATAGGATGATCACTGCTGTGGTTGTAGAACTTGACCCAGTAGCACAATGTGAATTCCTTTAACTCTGGAATGGTTGTTTCGTATTGTAGATATTGTTCGAAGTAATTCTGCATGAAAGCCACTTTGAACATCTGACATTTGTCTCCGGTGGGTAGAGGTTGTAGAGGTTCCGGTACATATCCTTGCGATGCTATGTTACCAAACGTTTGCTCTGAAGAGTGGAATGTTACCCCTTGGTAATCGGCCAAAATTGGCACCAAAAGTGCAAGAGAATATAACACATTCATCTCTAAATGATACCTGGAAATAAACATAAAGAATTTATACAATTTATCTTAGAACTAGAAGTATTAATGACATTCCAGACAAAAGTGTATAAAATATCATTAAAACTATCTTAGATTTATCTCTTGCATAACTCACAGTGAATTACAAAATTGATTAACCTTGTCGATAAAAAACGCGGTGGGTTTACTGGATTAATAGACTGATTCCTTTTAAAAAATGTATGTCAACATATCACGTAACAAAACGTCCAGTAGAGTGAGTATAATTATAGGAAATAAACAAACACATAATTCTTTACTTTTAACATAATGTTACTCAATTTTATTTTAAACGTTGTGTAAATATTCAAGAATTTCCGTAAAACTATAGTTTTATATATTCATCCAAATGTCGTGTAGGAATACATTTAAGCTTTCTACGAAACGCGGAATTTATTTAGTCCGAATTAAAGATTTTTATGTGCCTATTCATCAATTACACCACTTTCATTTTCACAAATTATTACATGTGTATAATTTAAGATTAAGATAGAAGAAGATGTTCCTCAATTAATTAAGATGATAATCATTATCTCTAGAAAGAGTTTCTAAAGTTTTTTACCAAAAAAATTGTTTTTTCTACAAAAGTCAGTAAAAGTAATGTAATTTTAAGGAACCTTTGTTAAAAATAATTTACTTTTAGCACTGGTTGTAAAATCTTTATTTATTGTGCGATTTTAACACCATTTTTTACAAAATACAAGGGCTACTATGTCAGTTTTTGAGAAATTTTTTAAGAATTTATATTGTCGATTTTCAAAACGACCCTATAAGTAATTTTATTGAAAAATTATAACTAGAAACGATTTTGTAGCTAAATTTAAAATGCACAATAATTACTATTTTCAAAAATTTTAGTCTGTCAAGTTATCCATGAAAAAAACAGGGTTAATATAAAATTAAACTAATAGTAAAATGCATGGTATAAATATTCTTATGCTTAGTTTTAACAAATAAAAAACGCAATAGAAACTTAAAACAACAATGAAAAATAGAGAATTCAAAAATTTTATGCCATGTTACTATTAGTTTCATTTTATTTTAATGTTTTTTTCATGTATAACTTGACAGAATACATTTTTGTAAATAGTTGTATTGTTCATGTTTAATTTGGCTACAAAATCGTTCATACTTAAAATTGTTCAGTAAAATTTAGTATAGGGTCGTTTTGAGGGGTGGTGAATCCAGTGCCGTGCATTGATTTTTTTAATCGCTAATATTGTAATATGAATTCTTAAAAACAGGGGTGAGTCGCAAACAAATGCGTCACACTGTGTACAGAAAAAGTTTTAAAATTTATTTAACCCAGAAAGTTTTCTGGCTTATTTAAAGTCTAACTTTTTCCCAAAGCATGTTTTATCATGCTCTTCCGTAAGAAATTTGACCATTTGTTCCTTTACGTAAAAGAATCTTGTAATATTTGCTTGTGTCCTCTTTATGTCCATCATCGGGCTTTTCATCAAAGTACGCCAAAAGCACTTTTTCACTGAACATTTCACCAACATTTTTCAGATTAAACTATCTCAAGAAATGATGTAAGAAACTCGTACTGTTGCTTTGACACTAGGCAATAACTTAAAATTGGCTTTATCAGCAGCTTCTTTGATTTCGGCCAGAAGAAATTCATTTTCTTGATCACTTTCCATATCACGAAGTTACTTGTCAAAAAATCTTGGCAGCAATAAACTTCAACTGCTTTTTCGCTATGACATATTTGACTAATTCATTTTTAGAGAGTAAGTAATATACTTATTTCTTTGTCACAGGACATCTTGTAGAATAACAGTGAACAAAATTAATAAATTCGGAAAATACTTTTAACATACCACCCGAAAAAATATTAGTATATATATATATAAATCATCCTGTTCCGGCCTAAACATCATAAATGCTTCACAAACTAGAGATACCACACTTAATGATATTTGCAACAAACTATTTCAGAAGTCAGACCAAGGAATTAGTAGTTACCTTCAGAATCCAGAAAAGGGATGAGGAATCCGAGAAAGAAATATAAGAATTTATGATATTTACGAAAACAAAAATAAAATACCTATTTGATGTAAAGTTGTTATGTTTATATAAAAATTGTATGTCCAATAACTATGGTCCATGTGTCCAATTACTATATAAAATGTCCAATTACTATACTTTTTTGCATGTTTTCATAAAACTATTAATAAAAAATTATTTTAAGTAAACGTAAATAAAATTTAAACAAACAAACTATCCTTTTTATATATTTATAAGAAAAAAACTAAAATCTTTAAAACAACGGCATATATCAATTTTAAATAAATAATATTCCTTAAGTGTCCAATAACTATAGTTTTTTTTGCAAATTTTCATAATTGTTATTTCTAAATATTATTTAACAAAGTTGTTAAATATTTACACACAAAACTAAAAAGCGTGAAAATATATTGATTGTATACAAAATATTACAAAAGAATATAATCTACATTTTTTCTTAATTTTATGTCATTGGTATAAAAAATGTTTATAATTATAGAACACTCAAAACTTTTCAGTCAAAAGACATTTAGATCGGTATCGAGGAAACAAAAAAAACACAAAAATATAAAATAATTACTCCAATACTTTATCGACAAGATTAAAAAAATCAATAATCTACTTACCAGTTAAAACTTAACACATGCTACACCGGATTATTCCACAAGAAAAGTTCAAACAAAACTAAACCTAAATCACTTCTCAAGTTTCACTATAAAGCGCATTTCGGTGTTTGGTCAGTTTTGCACTTGCCGAAGGTAGACACTGTAACATACGGCGTTGCCAGATCTCCGAAAGTAGCAAAAACTGGGAATTTCTATTTTTTGCTATAAAATTTTTATTTTTATTTTAATTAGGTTATTTTGATTAAAACTCTTAAATTTATCATAAAAAGCAATATCCTTTTCAGGTGTAATTAAAACAAATACCTATGATTATTTTTTTTCATAAAAAAATTGTTAAATTTTTTTTCAAAAAAAAAAATAATTTGGCAACAGCGTATACACTGGCAGCATCCTAGCGTGGGTACTTTCACTTTCCCTTTATTATTTGCAATAGCCGATAACCATGTGTATTTAGATACATATGTACTTTAAATGAAGGAGTGTTGTTTTTAACTATTACACAAATCATTAACTAATTTATTATTTAATTACTATTTTATTCGTTGCCGGATTTTGTCCTCATTTATTTCCGCTTTTAATTTAATAACCTGTTTGTATTACGTACGAATTCAATATATAAAAAGTATTTTAATCTTTGATATAAACACGTTTATGTAATTTTGTAAATATTTAAGGCTTTTAAGTTGTAATTAAATTATTTTTTACGGTGTAAATAATGTATTATATAATTTAGAATTCCAAAAAAATAAAATATGAAAGGAAATTCTAAAGTAATGACAATTTCGTAAACTTTGCTTTACGCGTACCAATTCTAATTAAAAGTACAGTTACAGGCAAGAATAATGGTAAACCAAATATTTTTATTATTATAATTTCATCTAATTTTATGTAGATTTTGTGTAGAAATCAAATCAACATAGACATACATTTTGAGGCCAGTCCTGTTTATTGTTGCCAAAAAACATAACCATAAAAAAATTTCAAAATTTAAAAAATTTAACAATGCACGATATCATCGTTGACAGTAGTCTCATATTTACTTAACACCAGCCATTTTTACTTCCTTTAGGAATCTAAAATTTTATTTTGTCTCATAATCTTTGTCTTGTAGTGTACATACACACAAATCTCGTTTTTACTTTCGTTTTAGCGTAATGAATTCAGATCAGAGAGTGACAAAGTAGAACTAATACAAAACAAAACAAGGTTGTCTTTGGAATGATCAATTTGGATTATGATTTAAGAAATTTTTAATTCACTTTTTCTGTTATTTTTTTCTTGACCCACTTTTTATTATTTTACAATAAAGTTTTAATTACTGGTATTATGCTAATAATATTATCTTTGCAAGGGGTCCATAAAAATAATTAAATCTTGCTTACATATTGGTTTACCGCAACAACTTTATTATCCAGTTAGAAACGTAATATTTCACAACGCTGTTACTTTTGCAAATTTGAAATCACAGATAATAATTTTAAAATATGTCATGCCCATTTAAACTATTTTTAGGGTAGTGGCAAGGGTAACGTACCCTATTACATGGGTTCGACTGCCAGCTTGACAAGAGGCTCGACTTTACTACGAACTTATTCACCGGCTATAGCAAACGCACCGCAAGATAGACTCAAACCTTTACCGACTGGTAAGTCCAAATTAGTTTTAATAAGAAAATCATCGATAATTATAATTATATAAAATTTATCGACAACATTTTTTAAATTCCAGATGGTTATATGTCTTCACCGGAACGGAGCTCTAGATACGAGGATCCTTATTATAGTCAGTATACAAGCAGATCTGGTTCAATTACACCAGTCATTGATGAAGAAGTCAGGTAGGTTTTATATAAGTTTGAATTTTTTAAATGGACTTACTATATAATTTTATTTCAGAGAATTCGCCAAAGTAGTCAAATTTAAATTATTGGCAATCTGTATTACTTTGACATATGTATATACTTCTTAGTCCTAAAAAGTGGATAAAATATAAGACCCAATTTTATACCACACTTATTTATTTAAAGTAGGGCAGTTTTTGAGATATTATATGGAAAATTTACTAGGTTTATCTTGAAAACTGTTCTACTTTTATAACTTTTGAAATTTTCGGATTCAGCGGACAATTTTACATAGAAATTGACTGCTAAATATCCGAGATATTGCTATTGACTAGAATTATTAGTGTCTGCTTTTTCGCAATGAGAATTAGTCATTTTAAGAGAGATGACACTGATCCTTTAAATACTCATTGGCTTTATGGCTATTTAGTCACGGCCTGAAGTTAACAACATGTTTTTAGTCACGGGCTGACATTTAATTAAAAACTAGCTCGCAAGTTGCTTGCGACTAAAATGACGTTTATCAAACTTGATTCATAATATACTATTTCCTACTCCCACCTTTAAAACTTCCATTATCGTACATTTTTTTACGACACTAAGTGATCTTTTAAATACACATTGACAAGCTGTGACCTTATAGCGTTTTACTCACGGACTGAAGTTAGCTTTAAGTTAGTTGACAGTTGTCGAACGTCATACAATTACTGACAGATGTCAGATTGGGAAAAACTAGGGTTAAAACCGCCCGGTTGTCAGATATCTGACATATGTCAAATAAAATTGGATTAAAATTCTAAAAAAGCATTCATTTTTTAAAAAGCATAAATATATTTACCAAGTTGGTAAAGAGAATTTATAAAACTAGCAAACATTTTTATCGATGCTAGACATAATGAGGAACTTTTAATATTATTATATTGACCCAATTTTACTCAAAGGTTACTCAAGAAAATTGATATTTTATTAATGCAGTAAATTGCAGCCAACAGGTATCAAATTTCAATCTTATTTGGTTACACAATTTTGCAAAAGTAAAATGTTTAACCACATCCTAATAGATTGAAACATAACGCCAAATGATATACGTTTTTCACAACAGCAAAATAGTATTTAAAATAAGTCCCATATCATTTTCACTTCAAAATCATTCGATTTTTTCTACATGTACTTTTTCAGTGATACTGAACTTTTGGATGACTCATACTCCCTCTACGGCGTCAAGTTACCGCCAGGGGCGCCGAGAACGGCGGGGCGACCGTCGTTCCCCGCCCCTGCTGGAGTGCCATACGATCAAACCAGGTAATGTTACATGAACGTTATTGATTACAAATTTAATTGTTACGTTAGAAAAATCTATCAAAACAGATTGCGCGTAGAGAATATGGAAAGACAGCTGGCCAATTTGACAGGTTTGGTGCAAAAGGCGCTAACGCAACCGGCTCCGCACATACAAATACGGGATGATGGATACAAATCAGGTATTTATAAAACATTGTGTACAGGGTGTTCCAAAAGTCGCGCACATGTATTGCTTTTGTCCAGTATCGTAACAGCAAGATTTTTAACCACAATTAATTATTTTTACAATGTTTTAAAAGTATAAAACCTATCCTCCGTGACTGTTACTCTTTCTAGGTTAACCTACATATGTATATGTTTTCAAATATCTGAGGTAGGAAAAGCATACTAAAAATATCAGTTCACTAAGTAAATTAAACACATCCAAAGCAATCGAATCAAATATAAAATATTATTAAAAATTAAAAGAAATCATTTTTATAACCATTTATGTAGTTGTTACAAAAATTGATTCTATCCTCCGTGAATCTGTTTTTGCTGTAAATTTTATGCAACGGATGGCGCTTTAATCATTTTAAATAAGAAAAAACCTCTGTTTACGACATTATAGATTCATGTGATTCCTGAAGGTCAGTTAGAATTTATATGCAGATGAGAGTGTTGCTGTTTTATAATTCAAAAGTTTAAGTTCATTAATTTGCTATTTAAAAACCTATCCACAGTGAAGTATAATATCTCAGTAAGTAGATTTTTTTTATAAATATTTTATGTTTGTACAATTGTATTTTTTTTTTCATATTAAGGTGTCAAAAGATACAATAACTTATTTCAAATATAATATACAAAGGGATGTTTAAAAAAAACATACGAAATCCTAACCTCCGTGAAGCTATCTTCCGTGAAGCTCTAATATTCAAAATGTATGATTTCTTAAAATTCCAAAAATAAAAAATAATCATTTTCACTTGGGGGACATCTGAATATATTCACCCATAGGGAATAAAGGTAGAATTTTTTTACAATTTTCTGAGATTCCTGGAGGTCTGTAGATCATAAACCTTTTTGACTTTTGGGACACCCTGTATTGCTGTAATTTGAGAATTTTAATGTTCCCCCAATTGTATCGATTGGTGTAAAATTACTTACACGATTTTCAAAATGGTTAATAAATCATCTTGAAAATCTCTATGGTAATTTTACCAAGTTATTGTAGCAAGCATTTACGCATATAAACTAAATAAAACAATCGATTTTCCATTTTCATATACCTAATCATACTATTAAAATTATTTTCACTGAATATATTATGATAATGGTTTGATATTTAAGCATGATATAACTTTATTTATATGTTGTTTTGTTCAGCTGTTTTATAACTAAAAAAAGTTTTGCCGCATGTTTTGTGTGTTGTAACAAAAATTTCTTTTTATTTTAGCTGACGATTCTTATCTGCGAACCGATAGTAAAGCCCCTAAGCTGGGTAAAAGCGGATGTCGTAAGTATTTTCATTTTAACTTAAAAAATATACACTATGTAGCAATACTTTTTTTTATAAAACCCAAGTATAGAAAAAGATATTAAGAAAATATTGGTACATAGTGTTTTCATTTGAACAAAATTTGCTGAACCAAAATTAACAAAAAACAAATTAAAAACATCATGCAATATTTTTTTTAGATAAATCGGTTTCATTTGAAAAATCAGTATCATTTAGTGATGAACCTCCCGACATGAATTCACCCAAACAACACAGTCCGCAGCATGCAGGTTCGTAATGTTAATTTTTTCAAAAAAAAGTTAAAAAAAAGTCAATTTTTTTAATTTTTGCATTTTTTTAATGAGTGGTTTTTTACTAAAATGGTCCCTAACTTGATCAATTTGTTATGTAGGCACCCTTTCAGGATTTTTTTTATTTTACCAATTTTTTTAGAAATATGCATGTATAACTAACCATTACCGATTGCTCACAGCTGATACCAAACCTGCTAAGCCTGCAATAAAGTCATCTACTTTACCCAGAACTTCATCCCAAGGTAAGAAAAAATTAAACGATGAATTAAAAAATGTTTCTGCATGATTATATCGTTCCTTCTGAAAATCAAAAGCACGACCCTGTATTCCCACTATTTAAACGAAAAAACTTAAACAAATTTCTCTTTGTAGAACGAGACAGGCTCAAACCAGCCCCGGTGCAACAAAAGTGCGCCCTTTCACCAAGTCAGTACGATAACAGAATATACAGGGACCTATTGTTAACTCCAGAAATGTACAACCAGTTCAGAGGACTTCAAAAAAAAGCCAAGGACTTAAGAGTGGAAGTGAAAAATTTGCGCCGAATGTCACAAGCACAAGCCCATTCGGTCAAAGAAACAATCAGAGATGCCTTCATCAAGATTAGGGCTATGCTTATTGTTGGAGGAGACCAAATATGGCAAACAGGTATAAGAGGATGTCTGAAAACAGATGTACAAAAGTACCATTAGGTTTTTGACGATATCAGAATTGCTTCATAACATCAGGATTTTCAAAACGTAGTTTTTTATTATTATTATTATTATTATTACAAGTTATTTCTTTTTCACAAAACTCATCAAGCCATCTGAGATTACTTCAAGAAGTATCTCTTTCCTTTCAGAGAAATCGTAAGTTGAAATTTTTTAAGGAAAAATTGGATTCATCATTTTGATCATAAATTTTAACCAACGATTTCTCTAGAAAAATTGTAATAGTGATCGAGCAACGACTTCACCTCATCAAAAACCTTCGGGAAGGTCTGATTTCAACAGTAGAATGTATTTTAGGGTTGGACCAGGATCGGATTAAGCTGACAAGGGATGAGGATTTATACAAGCAGGAAATGTTGCGACTCGAGAACGATTTAAGCGATTTGGAAACGACCGTAGAAGAGCTCAGAAGTAACGTAATCAATCGAAAAACCAGGGTAAACATGTCAGATGTGGAGAATATGGCGCTAGTACTCAGCAAAAGTTCAAAAACCGTAGCAGATCTGAAACTAAGGTAAATCAAAAAAATTATTTAACAAGTTTTACATGGTGATTGTTTAGATTCCCTGGATTACAAGATGGAATGAAGACTTTTTTGAATGCGGAAATGGAAAAAGTTATGCGGGAAGAAAAATTTCTCAAGGAGGAACCAGAAAGGCTTGAAAGTGCACTAAGGCGTTGCAAAAAATTGACAGGAACTCTTGTTACTTTAAAACGGTAATTATAACGTAGTTTTTATTATATGAAAGCAAAATATCATAGGCGATGGCAACAATAAACTTGACGTTGAATACTCCTACCCAATAGCCAATACCCAATTTGCCCTATTCGTTTAAGCGCAGTATACTTTTCTATATACTGTGGCTTAGGTACTAGTTCAGAGTACTCATAAAATTTTTGCAGATGATGGCCCTTTCCACTCTTGGTTAGCCTCGTTTGTTCTTCACATAGAATGCTTCCTATTGTAAGGTGGTTAGTCCGCCAGGTATGCTGACCTTTATCACTTTACACTCTGTTACTTCAGTGACCGTAAGGTAGCCTTAATCAATTTAGATACAATGCATTATAGTTTTTCGGACTGTAAGGGTAGTTTATTGTGTTTTGTAAAATTTTGGTTTCCAGCGAGTTCTCGGTTACTATGTCTTCCCTCGTCAATAGTTCGAACGTGACTGTATAAATTGTCACTTTTAGCACTTATATCATATCATTATAAAGCTCTTAATTTATTTAGAGAAATTGGTTTATAACTTGACATTTTTCTTAGGTTGGCAAGCGTGCAAGAGCAACGATTGCCGTGTCCTAATTCGTCGAACGATGAAGCAGTGTCGCCAACCCCAGAAACACCCATAACCCCCACTTCAGGTTCATCGCAAAGCAAGGTAGGGTGACTTTTTTTACACGTAAAATTTAAGGCATGTTTTCGTCATTTTTCTTTAATAATTAAATCAATGTATTGATTTTTGTGTGTACATAATTATTTTATACTTATATTTACCTTACAAATCACTTTTTATTTTTAATTATTATTATGTTTAACAACGGAATTGGCGATTTTTAACGAAAAAATTGTTGAGACAAATTTACCTATATTACCCTAAAAAACTAATGTTGATGGATTGGTTTGATAAAAAAATCAATATATTATTAATTATTTTCACAAAAAATCATCCATAAAAGCATCATCAAAAAATCCAATCCAATGACAAAATTGTTTTTAAAAATAATCTAAAGGATGTTGTTGCTGATATGGGTAAGTTTGATTCTCCTATTGCAACGAAAATTTAGGTATTTATGTGATTTTTTTTATTTTAAATTTTGACACAGATTAAACACAATTTTTAATCTGGCTAAAATTAGAGTACTTGTATGAATAGAATCAGGACAATTTTTCTAATAGCCATAAGATCTTAGTTGGTTAAACGCGGCAGCGCGGATTAGGCAGCTAAATTCTAACCTAAAACATTTACTGACATAAACAACATAAAATATTTCAAAGAATCCAGAGAAATGTTACAATAACTTTAGTTACTACGAAAGGAAGATTTATCCCGATTTTTTTCATACAAAAAATTAAATAATAAACTCTAAATGAAATAGTTGCAAAAGAGTTTATTTAACGCTATCTTGCTTCATATTACCTAACCTGTCAAAAAAAGGAATTATATTTTGACAGTTTTTTGCATGTTAGTTAGGTGACTCTTGTATAGTGTTTTTATTATTTATTGTAATAATATATTTAGTCATCTAACTAAAAAATGTTTTTTAATAACACTGGTCAACAAAATTTAAATTGCTGTGGACCAGTGTATTTTTTTTCAATACAAAAATTATTTTGAACATTTTTTACTGTACAAAGAAAAGAATTTTAATACATTAAACTGTGCATTAAAGTTCGTTTTTTCGTGACAAAATTGTTGTTATTTTATTATTTTTGTAATAATAGTAGAAACCAACAAAAATTATATATTTACATATTCGTTATAATAAATATATTACACTTCAGCATTCTAATATGACGGGTAATGATTTTTTTTATAAATATCACACTCAGCTTATAGTACACTAAATGTAAAAAAAATCAATGTGTATAACCCTTTTAACAAAAAAAAAATTGAAAATTGTTCAATTTTCTATTTTTTATTCCCTATAAAACGCTTTTTTGTACTGACCACGCTATATAAAACACTTGTAAAATAGAATGCTTTAAAACAACAGGCATCACCTCTTTATTTAAAAAAAATTAATGCCAGGCTGATAAAAAAAATTTAATGAAAACACAATATGTTAGGGTCACATGGACTGTATATATTATTAAGCGAAAAATACTACTAGCATTAAAAATGATAGAATAGATTATTAATAAATGTTTCTTTGTTCCGATCAAAATATTTTTAACTTAGCAGAACTTACAATATATTTATTACTTCTTATATACTTAAATATGCGCATGATGGATGATATGACAGCTCAGCCTAAACCTAGAAAAGCTTTTCCTTTTTTGGGAAGTAATAAAAATACAACAAAAATACACAAAAATTGGTAGGTAGGGACCCAAATTGGCATTCAAATATTAAAATATTAAAACGGTTGGGAAAATTGTTAAAAACGGTCACTTTTTACTTACATCACAAAACTATTTAAGATTTGTTTCCTCAGTAAATGTTCGTAAAACTGGCAAGACTATTAATATTGACTCAATAAATTTTTAATGTTTTATGAAATATACAACTGAAAAATTAAAATTATCTCTATAAAAGGCAATAAACCAATCAGAGCACAGCATTTTCCACAGCACACTAGGTGTGATGGAGAATGCCATGTTATCATTGGTTTATTGCTTTCTATAGAGATAGAATTCTATAGAAAGTAAAGTCTAAACTTAAAAAAAATTAAAAATTTTATTGGTTTAACAAATCTTATCTGTATATGTTTTGTGAATTACCTAAAGTGACTTGGGTGAAAAAATCATGATTGCTAAGTTGAAAGTATTGGTTAGATATTAATTGGATGTTGTCACTCGATGTTATATGTTAAACTAAGCATAATTTTAATGAAAAACGGACAGATTGAGTAATAATTAAATTTATTTTTACCATTTAGTACGACTGGAAATGGAGCTCTAACTTCAAGGAAGCTATAACTTCTAGCGAGTAATTAATTTATTTTTAATATAATGCTTGCCTATTTTTTCATGATTTGTATGTTTTTTGACAAAATTTATATTTAATACGAAAGCCTGGTTCAGAATTCTATTTTTCTATTTGCACAAGCACTTTTATGTTCATTTTAAATACCCCCCCCCCAAGTACCCCCCTGCTTGCACCCAAATTTATTAATTATAATAGAAAAATATGTACATACAATTTATGTCGCTTCTTAAGTCTTTTATATATATATATATATATATACATATATACGGTCAATTTTTGTGAATGTTCTGTATACCTAACTGTTTAAAAAAATTAAACAAAATAACCACCTTTTTTCAAACTAATGCAAAATTCTACTCTGCAAGTGCCAAATGCATGATTCTAATAATAATAATAATAAAAATAAAATAAAACAAAGTATGGATTTATTATTATACATATTTGTATTTCAACAAATTCATCCTTTGTTTAAATTCCAATCTATCGTGCTCTCCTAATTTATTGCAATTTATAATTATTAAGCCCAACCTGTGAAAGTAAAGTGTCGAAATAATTCAACAAAAAAAAAACTTGTATGAGCACATAATTGACTGGTTTTTATGCATTTAAACAGATTTAATTAGTAACTAACTATACGGAATATTTTAATTCTAAACATATTAGCAAGCTGAAGTTTTACTTGTTTTGAAGGGGACAATCTACTGGAATTATTTAAAATTCTCCCAAAATTTGGCTGAGTTTTAGATGTGGAGTGTTCCCTTATAATCTAAAAAATAAATAGTGTTTATAGTGACATTCTATACAGGGTGTTCATGAAATGACGCACTAAGTCGCGTCATTATATGTATGAAATTTTTTTATTTTAATGACTTTTCTATATCTCTTAAATTATTAATTCTTGGAGATTTGATTTATATGACCTTTTTTGTTTTTCTACAAAAAATGTATTTACTTTTTTTATTCAGTCAACCGTTTGCAAGTTTATGCTAAAATTTTTAATATTATATTTTACTGCTAAACTTAATTTGTTTTCTTTGCGAAAAAGTGGCCAAAAGTCCAAAACCATGCTTAATTATATAATAATAAAAAAACAAAATGTAAAAAAACATTTAAAAAAAAAACGTGAAAAAACAAAAATAGAAATGTTTTTTACGTTACATTTCTAGGGTTGTCAGATTTCTTTTATGGCAATTTAATCTTAAAAATATAAACTTTAAAACCAACTATTTAGTAAAGTTCGAATTAATTTTCTTTTTTTACAAAAATGGCGAATGCGCTGGAAATTACAAATTAATATAGAATTTGTTAAAAACTTGACTACAGCGCCACCTATCGAGGCATAGCATAGCTATGAACCAACGTCTCGACATAACAAATGCATTGTGGGAATAAAGGCTTAATCGGTCAAGTCGTTCAGAAGTTACACGATCATTACGAACATTTTAACTGTTATAGTGTGTGGAGCAAAAGTATCAAATAATGGATTTAACTTTGTTATTTGCAAAGTTAATTTGGTTTCTATGGCAACCAATTTTTTTCTAAATGGCACACATAAATAGAGAAAAATATGCTTTTTTCAGAATGAACAAAAAAATATGTGTGCCATTAAAAAAAATTGGTTGCCATAGAAAGAAAATAAAAAAAGATATCAACAAACTAAAAAACTCAAAACATGCTTGGTAATGAACCAAATAACTTTTATATTGAACTTTTTTTTGTACTTTGCAAATAACAAAGTTAAAGACATTATTTAATACTTGTTCCACCCTGCATGTATACATACAGTGTGACCCATTCGTTTGCGACTCACCCCAGTAAAATCTTTATTTATTGTGCGATTTTAACCGGATTTGTTTTAAAGTGTAGATCTTGATAAACTGTATTTTTGGAGCAAAAAACGCCATATTAGTACAAAATACAAGGCCTACCATGTCAGTTTTTAAGAGTAAATATTTAAGAATTCATTTTAGCGATTTTTTTAAACAACATTTTTATTGAAAAATTTTAAGTAAAAAAATGCAAGATAATAACTAGAAAAAATTATTCTGTCAAGTTATCCACGAAAAAAAACATTGAAATAAAATTAAAGTAATAGTACCTAACTCATAGTAACATATAGTAATAGTACCAAAAAACTGACATGGTAGGCCTTGTATTTTGTAAAAATATGGCGTTTTTTACTCCAAAAATACAGTTTATCAAGATCTACACTTTAAAACAAATCCGATTAAAATCGCACAATAAATAAAGATTTTACAGGGGTGAGTCGCAAACAAATGGGTCACACTCAGTGGCGGCTGGTGGATTTTGGGCACACCCATATCTCAGTTATTAGACATGGGACCCACATCAAATTTATATGAGTTTATAATGACATTATATAGATAATTTCTGCGCAAGCAGAATTTAAATTAAAGTTTGCGAAAAAAAGTTAGTTTTTAAGTGCAACCCCCAGCCTCCTGCCCCTCCAAATTAAGATAATTCAAATTAAAGTGGTACAATATTTAATTCACTGAAGTTTATCGACAAACTTCAAATTTTATTAAAAAAAAATCAAGAATTACAGGTTTTATACCATTTATAATTTTTATTATTTCTTTTACTAAATTTAAAAAAATTATAAATGGTATAAAACCTGTAATTCTTGAATTTTTTTAATAAAATTTGAAATTTTTCGATAAACTTCAGTAAATTAAATATTGTACCACTTTAATTAAAATTATCTTAATTTGGAGGGGCAGGAGGCTGGGGGTTGCACTTAAAAACTAACTTTTTTTCGAAAACTTTAATTTAAGTTCTGCTTGCGCAGAACTTGTCTATATAATGTCATTATAAACTCATATAAATTTGATGTGGGTCCCATGTCTAATAACTGAGATATGGGTGTGCCAAAATCCACCAGCCGCCACTGGTCACACTGTATATTAAGATAACGTCCACTGTCATGTGGTATAGTAGAGGTGCGTCATTTTCGGAACATCCTGTATATAGAATGCGGACAAGAGTTTTTGGACACTTTTTATCAATAATAATAAATAATTTTTATTAATAACGTTTTTTTGCAATTTTTTTCCAGTGTCCCCTCGGCAGCACCACAGATCTGGGAGCGTTCGGTATCGGGGGAGGCTCTGATTCAGGCGCCTCAGACCATAACCAACGTCCGGAGAACGCACTCGACGCTCTGCTAGACGAGCTGCAAACTTTCGCCAAACCCCACCCGAAACCGCAAAACGGCAACCCCGCGATCCCCGAGCTGGGCCGAAGCGGCAGCATCGACTCCTCGACCGGCAACACCGCAAACACGTTAACTGTCAACACGTTGAGCGGCGGAGGGGGTTTGAGACGTCTGCATTCCTATCCGAGCGGGTCGGATACGGATAACAGTCCCCCTATACAACCCATGGTGAAGTTACCGCAGAAAAATACTCAGAAACCACCCTTACCGGAACGAACCACTAGCGAGTTATCCACGAAGAGAGTCCCCCCTCCTCCCCCTCCAAGAACAAGCTCGAAATCCCCTCTAGCCTCCCCGACGTCCCCTGTATTACCCCCACGCGCCCCTCTATCATCCGGCTTAATGCATATACAGAACGTACAAAACATCGTGGAAAATAGTAACAAACCTCAATCTCAGTTCGAGCAAGCGACACAAAACCTGGGCTTACACACGTTGCGACGCAACCTAGCCAAAAAGAAGGAAACCATGAACAAAGACAAATCGCAGACGCTCCCCAGAAACATCGGAGGTACCAACTTTCAAATCCAAACTGCCCCCACGGAGGCAGACTTGAACATCAGCACGAGCAGCAGTTGTGAGAGCATCAACTCGCAAGACGGCTCCAAAAAAAACCGCACTGAAGAGTTGGAACAACGTCATCAAGAACTACTCAAAAAACAAAAAGCTCTGCAAGAGCAATACGCAAGACTGCAGTCCCTACAAAGAGGGACCAACACCATAGCGTTTGTACCTCCCGCTCCCAACGATCTAATGCTGAAGAAAACCGGCAGCGAGTCGAATTTGCTGCAAAAAATGGGCCTACAGATGTCAGCACAAGTCATAACAGGGTCCCTGACAAACCTACCCAACACCACATCCCTGAGCAAAAGTTTAACCACCCCCAACAGCAATGAAAAAGATGCAACACAAAAATCATACGAAACGGATATTCTATGACCTATTACAACGTTTTTTATTGTGATGTACACCAGTCGTTTTGGATTTCTCCATGGGTTTTTAAGCCCGAAGGGCTTAGATTACTAAATTCTCTACTAAAAATGTAATGGGCACTGTTATTGCTTATAATCTTTCTTATAGAGAATTTTATAATCTACAATTTTTATCATTGCAAATTTTACCCCAAAACCAATAGAAAGGAAGATAAATACCATTATAACAATGTTTCCTTGTAGGCAACGCCATCTTTAGGGATTTTTTACAAGTTCTTTTAAGGGACAAAAAGTGACTATTCCATTAAAACCCATATCATACCTACGCATTGTATTTTTTCGAGTCTCAATGTATATAGGACATTACAAAAAGTATTACACGTAAAATTGTGAGATGTTTTAATAAAAGCTCACCATTTAAATGGATGGTTTATATTCGCGCACACCTATTACATATTTAACACCAAAAAATATTTATTATTAATATTAATATTTATTATTATTATTATTTGTTGTTGATTTTGTATATAGCACTTTTTCAATTGTCTATTAAATTTGTTTTTTATCGATATCTGGACTTTTTATTTTTGAAATTTTCCGTTTTTAATCACAAATATGCTTAAAATAATTATATTGCAATGGTAAGTATACTGCTTAAATCATTGATTAATAATATTTATCCGAAATCGGCAGTAAAGTAGTCAACAATCGGCAGTAAAAAGAAATCGGCAGTAAAGTAGAACGTTACTGCCGATTTAATACGAGTATTGTATGCAACCCAGTATACATTTTAAGATGAGTCTACTGCTACTCAGCAGCAACTAAATAATATTTAAAAAAAACACCGTCGCGGAGGTCGATTGGACCCTTTCATAAAATGTTGTTTAATAAAAATAATAAGTTAATTTTATTAATTAGATTAAAAAATCGCCGCGACGGGCAAATATATCATAACCGTCGCAACAAACAGTATACGTGGACACTTCCTACATTCAAATGACATTTGATTTGATCATCAAATGATATTTGATTTGATCATCAAATGACATTTGATTTGATCATCAATATTAATTATTAGTATTATAATAACACTACTCACGTGGTTATTTGCCTCGGCTTTCGCCTCTGAAAATAATTTCCACATTCGTGATAAAAAATACGACTTTATTGCCTTGATACATAAATAACTATTTTCACTCAACGGCTTAAATAGTATCTGTTAGGCAACACAACTACAGTTATATGTAAACTGGATTGCATACCTAACATAACCTCAAATTGATCTTGTAAATAAAACTTTTAAATAGTGAGAAAAACGGCAAATAACGATAAAAATGTAATGTAAAAATTATGTTTACAAGAAAAGAAGTTTTAGAACGTAAAACTGGTGAAGACGGTATTGGAAGATACGATTTTTTGAAGCAATTAATAAATGAATTTGCAACAACAAAATCATATGGTATGTAAATACAAATACTAAGTAATAGGTTGTTTTCTATATAAAAAATAAAGATTATTAGTTTCAAAAAAGGCATTTGAAATAATAAAAATGTTAAAAATCAAGATTATCAAAGAATTCCATGGACAATTTAGGCAAGCGTCTAACGCTTGTAATCATGGTTGCCTAAATTTTCCATGGAATACTTTGATTATAACACCGTACAACACAAAATTGCCCGCATCGATGAAACTTGAAAAATCGGATAGAAGACGATAAAAAAAAGACCCGTGTATCGGCGATTTTTTTGTACACGTCAAAAAATTTTTTTTTTCACTTTAAAGTTTTTAATTACGAGCATTTAATATGTTTTGTTTTTAAACAAAATATACCAATTTTGCTGTGAACCATATTATTGAAAAGGTATTAAAAATTAGGAAAAATGTTATATAATGTACAGGGAATATGTAAAATTGGTAATTTAAAAGATTAAAGGAAAAATTAAAAAATAAATCTTAAAAATTCGTATGATAACTATTATTTTGAGCATTTATGTATTCTTGTTTAAAAACAACGTTTTTTTGTATATACACTGTGGGTTTGTTAATCTAAAATTTAGATTCTAAATGATACCTACGCATATAAAAGTACGATTTTTATTAAACTGCACCTTTTATAGTTTTGTTCGTTGAGAATTAAAATGGAGTGTCCTAATCGCAATAAATTTTGTTATGTTTGTGGTTTATATGTAACTGTGAAACATGTTCGTAATATAACCAAAACCTTATAAGGTATAACTATAACTATAGTTCTTTCGTTTCAGCGACAGTTTAAAACCAATTACGTTCCGTACTTATGGTACGCTCCCGAAGTGCTATGCACTTACTGCTATAGGTCATTATGTAAAAATAATGACAAACAACCCGGTAGTAAATACCAAATACCTACTTACTATTTGGTTACCCCGTACAGAGTATTCTCCGGAATTGTGTTACTTTTGTTTGAACGAAACAAGGAGCTTTGGTTATAAATATGAACACCGCGAAAAAATCGCCTACGTTAAAGTTGAATCTGTAATCCCATTGAAGTTGAATCTGTAAACCCAGTTGAAAAAGAAGCTTGGACATCTGCGGTTAATGTCTTTGAAAACTTTCTTGGTAACAATCGAGCTGAAAATTATATAGAAATTGTGCAAAAAATGATCTCTGCGTATGGCAATATGGGAGTATTAATGTCATTAAAAATTCATTTTTTGCCTAATCTTCTAGATTTTTTCAAAAATAATATGGGTGATTACAGTGATGAACATGGAGAAAGATTCCACCAAGACATAGCTTTAATCGAAACTAGATTTAAAGGTAAAAATTTGGTGCACATGCTCGGTGAATACTGTTGGTCACTTTGTCGTGAAACGGCAACAAATTTACTAAAAAAAAAATAAAAGGCCAAAATTTGAAAAATAATTGAGTTGTATCAAATATTTTTATTAAACTAAATAATATCAGACATTTTGTTTAATTGTATTCAGCGTTAAAACAATTTATAAGGTAGTATTGTTTTTTTTTACTTTTGAGTATTAAAATTTTATGGACGTAATAATAAAGTAGTTACAGCCTTATGATTATGTAAGAGTTCTTTAAAATGCCCTTTAAGAACATTTGTAAGCTTGAATAAAAAAAAATAACATTAATATTTAGTATGGAAACTTTCTACGAATTATCTTTAAATTTTGTGTTTCAAAACCAAATAAAAAAAAAATTTGACGTGTACAAAAAAATCGCCGATACACGAGTCTTTTTTTTTATCGTCTTCTATCCGATTTTTCAAGTTTCATCGATGCGGGCAATTTTGTGTTGTACGGTGTAATATATGATAAAATAATTATTATTGTAGGGCTTACACTGTAGGCTCTATCATGGTGATTTTTAAAATTCTTATGATTTAAATTATATTCCTAATAAGAAAACATATTTTATACATTTTTAGAATCTAAAAAGCAGACCTTAGCAAATTTGTCAAATTTTGCCTATGATCCTATAAATTTTGTATTTTTTAAACAACTTCATATCCTTGACCTATTTTTGGCTCAATTATCGGAAAATAGTGAAGATTTAATAAACTTTTCTTTGGCTGGACTGTGTAATTTAGCTTCAGGTAATCTTTCTGACAAAGTATTTGACAAAAATTTAGTCAATAATTTTTAGATCCGGAAAATAAAGAATACATTATTTCTTTGAACGGAGTTTACCTTATATCTCAATATTTAAGTCATCAAAACATAGAAATCAAACTAAACAGTTTGACAACACTTTATTATATCCTCGAAACACAACCACATCTAGTCACCCAGGACATTTTAAACGAATCAGAATCCTTTAAATCAAGTGATGATCCTAGGTTGTCAAATTTGGGGACAGTTTTTTTGGAGAAATACAAACATGAGGTTTCTTACAGTAGTCAGGGGGTTTAGTGAAATTGCTTTGAAGGATTTTAAAGTTGGTAGTAAGGTTTTTGCCACTAGGAAAATCACTAGGAAGGATTTGGAGGATTTTGCAAGGATAAGTGGGGATTTTAATACTGTGCATATGAATGAGGGGGTTGTTCATGGGGCTTTTTTGAACTCCATAGTTTCAGGTAGGTAATCAAATTTCAGGATTTCCTGGTTTATGTTTTTGTTTTACTTTTTTAGGTGTAATAGGGACTAAACTTCCAGGACCAGGCTGCCTAGTGGTCCAACAAACACTAAATTTCCCCAAAAAATGTTTCATAAATGAAGAAATAAAAGTAACAGTAGAATTGGAAGAAATAAGAAAAATATGGAAAGTTAGCTTTAACTGTAAAGTCGAGGACAAAACTGTGTTATTTGGAGATGCCAAATTAGTTTTTATTAAATAAAAAAACTTTTTTTTTAAGATTTATTTTTTTACATGTGGCATTTTACAGGTTCATTATCCTTACAGCAAAATTCTCTTCCAGCTGATAAGTGGGTGGCATGCCACTTGTCACTGTGGTTTTTTATGAATAAAAAGGCTTTTTCCTTGTGCACATCTCTGTCCACAGTTGCACAGATTATTTCGCTGCTTTTTGGAAGGTGTTTGATAATCTAAAAAAATGCAAAGTTTACCTACAAGATAATTTTTGTTTCAAAATTAATTTATTTTCATTATTGGAAAATTTTCAGAAAAATTGACTTGCATTTGTCAATTTTTCTGAAAATTTCCAAATATCAGTATACTGATCAAGAAAAAAGGGAATTTTCAAATCTGATTATAATCATATGATATACTAGCGGGTCGCAAAAATACAAATTCAGTGCTGTATTAACATAACTATCGTGTTATTAGACACATCGATTTATATACTATATAAATCATTCAATATTTTGAAATCGATATTTTCAATGGACCCCCTTTTGCAAAAAGGACCCAACCGACAGTATATTTGATAATTTTTATTTTAACAAATCATTTTCTAAAATCAATTTAAAAGTTAAAAATGCATTTTCGTAAGAAGATATAAATTATTTTACATAATACCATGGGGCTCTGCTTATAAAAATGCTCTTTTGCCACTTTTAAACGGGTACTAAGGATAATTCTGGTAAATGATCAGTTTTGTGACAAACATCTTCATATTTATCAAAATTACTATTTAAAAACCATATTTACCAATTTTAATAACTTGTACATTATCTTCAAAAATAGTAATTAAAAAACTAGGTTTAAAAGGTTCTGCCAAAAGTCAAGCTTGAAGTTGGTCAAAAAACCAAAAAAAAAATAGATTTAGTTTTCAGTTTAAAAAAATGTTAAAAGACTGGATTACCAAAAACTGTACCAATAATTCATTATTAACTTAATAGTAGTAAATGTCAAATTATAAACTGTATCTATAGTTATATACTAGTAGAAAATATTACACATTGTTTTAGTTTAGTTTTAAGTTATGTACTGGACCTATGTACAGGTAATTTTTTACCTAAAATAGGCGAAAATTCTATTTCTGTACACTTGTATCTGGTTGTTAAATAAATAAATAAATATGATTATTATATTTGAAATATTCTTACAAAGATGCATTTTCAACTATAAAACTGTATAAAACGGATTTTATTAAATAATTGGACCAAGTTTTAATTTTTGGACTAGTACTGTTTTTAATCTTACCGATTCATTTAACGCTTACGTTAATTTTTTTAAATCAATTCTATTCAATGTTTAGTTTTAAGTGTTTTTTTTCTGTAATAAATTTATTATCCATATATTTTTTTAAAATTAAAATAATGTTAAGTGGTTGAATTTTTTTCCCAAAAAACCCAATTTTTCTAAGGCTTGGGAAAAATACGGAAACAAACAGTTTTTTCCCCAATTTTTCCGTTTTTTTTTTCGACAATTTAAAACCCTAGGTAGGTATGATTTTAACTATAAACTGGTGTATAAAAAAATAACTCTTTACTTAACATATTTTTTAAATTTTGTATACTCAAAATAAAGTTTATACATATGTTTTAGGATATTCAAACATAGTAAAAGTTAAATTTTGTAATTTAACTTTATAAATCATTTATTATTTTGTAAATGAATATTTTGAATGGACCTCCTTTTGCAAAAAGGACCCAACCGACAGTATATTTGATAATTTTTATTTTGTCAAATCATATTCTAAAATCAATTTAAAAGTTAAAAATTAATGATTTTTAACTAGGTATAAAACGGATTTTATGAAATAATTGGACCAAGTTTTAACTTTTTGACTTGTACTGTTCTTAATCTCAACAATTCATTTAACGTTTACTAATTTAATTCAATGTTTAGTTTAATTTGATTTTTTTTCTGTAATAAATTTATTATCCTTATTTTTTTAATTAAAATAATGTTAAGTTTTTGAATTAAGTTTCGTAAAAATCAACTTTTTCAAAAAAAGCCAATTTACCAATAACTGTACAACCTAAAATTTTGTTATAGGTACTCAAAATAAAGTTTGTACATGTTTTAGGATATTTAAACAAAGTAAAAATGATATAAATTAGGGATGTTATTTTAAGTGTTCTGAATTAATTTTCCATTATTTTTTACCTACAATTCCACCCTAAAATTGTCCCCTGAAATCTCACATTAATTAAAAACAAATCGTTCAAACAAAAAATCACCGGAAGTGGACGAAATTTCCCTGACAATCAAAGCTCGAATCAAAACACACACCTGTTGGATGCATAAAAACATTAAAAATTTAAATGCTAATTTAGATAGAGTTGGGGTGCAACGGGACGCATGGGTTATTCCATTTTACACCCCGGTAAATACTCACAATGGCCTCATTATTATTTTTAAGGAGGGTGGCCAGTTAATCGTGGACGCAGGATGGGCTGTTCACTTGTTTTGTTCATTTTTTTTAAGTCGCTTGTTGAATGAAAATAAGGATTCTCACGGGATAATGCAACAGGTTGACCCTTGGTTAGTTGGTTAATTAAGGGGCGGTTTCTTGTAGGAAACTGATTTGAATAAGGAAGGGCGTAAAGAATGACCGGTTATTAGATTGTTTTAATCATGAAGAACCTTTGAGCTCAACCAAACAGGGTAAACACACAAAATAATGAATTAAACATAAAAAATAGTCTATGCTTACCACTTCCAAGCATTTATTTGTGCACTGTCTAGTACCCACGGAATTATTCATGAAAGAGTTGTCCATTTCCTGCGTTAGAACTGGTGAACCTTTGGGCTGATCCTTGGACCCTTTTTTAAACTGTCCGGTCAAAAATACCCCGCATGTGCAAGGTATTGGTGATTCTTTTTCATGGTGATTTTTACGGTCCTTTGAGGCAGTGGTGAAAGAGAATAGAGCCACAAACAGTAGACAAAAAATTACCTAAAATTTGATCGTTGTTTAATTTTAAAAATATATTTCGAAACGCACCTTCATTTTTATTTATTAGGAAGTTCACTTTCCACTGAATTCAAAGAACTAATTTGCCCATGCAACAAAATTTAACCATTGTTTTGCAATTAAGCAATGCATTAAAAATGCCGACAATATCTTTTTTACTTTGTTCTATATTTCCATAAACGCGGTGTTATTAATATGAAATATTTGAAACAGATACAGATTGTAACATTTATTGGTTTTGAATAACTTATAGCAGCTCATGTAGAAACTTCGGGGTCCGGTTACAATAAAATTTAATAAGTTTATATGAAAAATACAAAAACCATAACGTGGTTTTATGTGTGGGATATATTTATTGCTTTTATTTATATATCTTCTGTATTTTATTGAATTTTTTTAAAAGTATTATTTTTTGTTTTTTATGTTGTTTAAAATGTTTTTAGTTTGCAAATTTCAACATTTTTTTAATTTTACATTTTTATACAAAACGTGAGTGTCCCCAAAATGCGTTATTTTAAGAATAAAAAAATGGAGTATTTTTAAAAATATTACAGAATGGTGTAAAAAAATATAAATTTTAAATTATCCAAACTTTGTAAATATTATAATACTTAATATTCGTATCATTAAAATGTTGGAATTTTTTTTCTATCTGTATCAATTTTTATTATTACATAAAGAAAATACTAAAAAAAGATAAAAATAGGTTAATAAAAATTATAAAACAAAACAAAAAATATTAAATTAATAACAAAATTAAATAAAACATATTAAAATATCAGATAATAATAATAGAAATATGTAAAAAAAACAAAATATTAAAAAAAAAAGGTGTTTAGAATCATATCCGTATACTAAATTTCAAATTTCTTGGCCACTTTGATTTTAAAAAATCTAGGTAGTAGAAAAAAATCAACTTGAAATTTGGTATATGGACCTAAAATATAATTCGATACAACTTTTCTTTATAATATTTTGTTGTTTAAGGGGGCTAATTAATTTTAAACAACAGTTTTTAATAATATTTTGTCGTATATCCTATATGCACTTTACCCTCACAAAAAATAGTTTTTTTTTAGTAAAGGTAAACTTAATTTTTATTTATTATTAAAATTATGTTGAAAATTAATCTTTTATCAAGCAGGGCTGAACCCCTGAAAATGAAAATTAAATTCAATTTTTTTTGATTTTACAAGAGTCGTTTCACCTATCCAGGAACACCCTGTATATTATACTGGGCCAAAAAAATTGACTATTTTTTTTTGAAAAATGTATCGAGAATGTCATTTAGAATGACAAAAAAAAATTCGTGAAAATTTGAGCCCTTAATATTATTCGATTAAAATCGAAGAAAAACTTAAAATTTAAATTTTTTCTTCGTGAATAAATTTTGAAGAATTAAATTTATGCAAAAATGTTAAGAGACCTTTTTTGTAGAACATTAAATTTCCTTTAAGAATCCGACGTGAGCTTTTTTAAATATTCATTGATCCATTAGTTACAAAATTTCAAAGTAAAAAGGGCAAATCGAAAAAACACATCGATTTATTAAGCTCAATTACTCGGAAACGGCTCGTCTGACGAAAATTTTCAATCTGACCTTTTTTGTAGAGAATTTAATTTTATATAAAAATAAGTGAAAAGGATTTTTTTCGCTCTAATGTTTTGACAGTTCTAACGTAAAACATCAAATTATGACTAAAAATCAAAAATAGCGATGATAGACCTCTTAAAATTAATATTAAGGGCTCAAATTTTCACGAAATTTTTTTTGTCATTCTGAATGACATTCTCGATATATTTTTCAAAAAAAATGGTAATTTTTTTGGCCCAGTCTACTGTATATATATAACAAACCCCAAACCCAAAACCCACAATTAAACATAAAAAATCTCGCCGAGGGTTACCGGCTGAATCCGTCGCTGCCCATCAACTTGAACGTCTATAATTTGTATGGTCCTTTGTCTGACCATCATTCTTACTTACGCAGCAAGGAAGAGGACTTTGAACCGCGACCATGGTCAGTTCTTAAAATAAAAGGGGTAGAAAAAATGGTAACGCATGACGGTCAGGGGGAGATTTGTTTATTGCGTTTACACAAGCGGCGGAGAAGGTACAGAGCTTCGAACTGATTACGAGAGGCGATCAAGTGAATAAATGCATTGTAAATCGGATTGCCACCTGTTGCTTCGATCGGATGCTTTATTGGAAACGCACAGGACACTCACCTCACATTTTCTATTCTAGCTATATATTTCAAAATGCTTTTGCTCTGTACTCACAGTGTTCCTGAACGAAGTTTTAAGTCACATAAAAATGACGCCAAAAACTGATTGCAGTTTCTTGTTCGGGACCCTTTGGTGAATTAAAAATGATATTTACCAAAATCCTAGCTGATCCTTTTTTCGAAATTTTTTCAAATTTTTTTTTTCAAATTTTTGTTTATTTCAAAGTCTACCTTTCACAGAGTACACATTTGTACACCGATTTTTATAAAATTAGAGTATATTATTGAGGAGACTTAAAGAATACTCTTTAATAATGTTCACATCATTTGATATATACAGGGTGGACCAAAAATCGATTAATTTTAATAAAGCAAAAGCGTAAATTCATGATTTTGGCATAACAAGCAAAACAGATGTATCCCCATTTTTTTTAGATATTTCTATGTTTATTAGGTTACAAAATGGCATTCTTATTAACCTTTTATTAAAAAAATAGATTTTTAATAAAATTAAATAAAATAACGCTTAGAGAATATTTAAAATGTTGTTTATAAATTATAATTTAGGCTTTTTAGAAGTTTTCAATTTTGAACGAAAAACTGGTTAAAGTTTTTTGATCGGCACTCTTTGGAGATTTAAAAACGGTATTTACCAATTTGCTTTTCTTTAAATTTGTCAAAAAATCATTTTTTTTTAAATTATTTGTTTATCGCAAAGTCTACCTTTGCCAGAGTACAGATTTGTACACCGATTTTTATTGATTGCAGTTTCTTGTTCGGGACCCTTTGGTAACTTTAAAATGATATTTAACAAAATCCTAGCTGCTCCTCTTTTCGAATTTTTTTGAATATTCTTAATTTTTGTTTATCTTACCTTTGACAGAGTACACATTTTTACACCAATTTTTATAATATTGGAGTATATTGTTAACGAGACTTGGACAATATATTGTCAGTATACTGTTTTCATACTGAGCACATCATTAGATTTATACAGGATTAGCCAAAAATCACGTTTTTATATAGTAAAAAGCATAATGCACAAAACAGATTTATCTCCAAAAAAATTTATTTTATTTAATTTTATTCAAAATCAATTTTTCTTATAAAGTCTTGATAAGAATCCCATTTTGTAGCCTGATAAACATAAAAATATCTAAAAAAACATGGGTGGGTATATACCTTTTTTGCGTGTTATGCCAAAATCATAAATTTACGCTTTTGCTTTATTAAAAGAAGCAATTTTTGGCTAACCCTGTATATATTAAATGATGTGCACAGTATAAACAGTATTCTCCAAATCTCCTTAACAATATACTCCAATATTATTAAAGTCGGTGTACAAATGTGTACTCTGTCAAAGGTAGACAAAAATTTAAAAAAAAAAATCATGAATTTTCAAAAAATTTCGAAAAGAGGATCAGCTAGGAGTTTGGTAAATATCATTTTTAAGTCACCAAAGGGTCCCGAACAAGAAACTGCAATCAGTTTTTGGCGTCATTTTTATTTGACTTAAACTTCGTTCAGGGACACTCTGTACTGTTCAGCGTTTGAAAAGAAAAACATTTGTTAAGTATAAATTTTTATTAATACTCCTCAAATTGCCAATCGTATTTGTACTCTACAGAATCATCGTCTTCGCATTCGTTAAAATTAAACTTGTTCCTCAAATACTTCATGTTTTGTTCATACACACTGTCCTGTTTGTCGGTATTCAAAAACTCCAACTCATCCGATAGGGAATCTTCCGATTCTTCGTAGGTCTCATCGTTGGCGAACACTTCCTTCTTATCATCAGCACCTATGACCTGTATTATGGCTGGATCGTTCAAGAATGCTGGTTGTGGATTAACGTTTCTGAAGTCTCTCAGATGGGAAAGTTGGAACTCGACGAAATAATAAACCTCGTCTTGTTTTGGCACCGGGATTTCGCACTCGCGGTTTTCCGTGCCAAAATTTTGTACTTCTTCCAGGGATAACGTTCCTTTTTCGAAGTTTACGTCCAGAAGTCTGCCTTCATAGCGAATGTTAGCTTTTGATGTTACGCTCACTTTGTTGTAGTTCATTTTTTTAGAGTGAATTTGTTTTTAAGTTGCTGGGTTTTATAGCAGTAATAGTTGTATACCTCATGAAAAGAGGTATACGTAGAGTTAAATTACTTTTGAGGTAATCTACAAATTCTTAGACAGGTATGGAAATATAAGATTAGGGCTTTCTTTAGTTTCTAACAAATGGGGTAGTTAAATTTTTTCTGACCTATACTTTTTATGGTTTTATTCAAGGCGATTTGTAATTTTAAACATTTCTGTGAAATCGGAATTTCAATTGAGTTTACCGTTTTCGAGATATTTACAAAAAAAAATCTCCTAATTACGTCACTAGGCTATTGACAACGTTGCCAGCTTTTTCTATGGTTGCCAGTGTGTTTAGTTTAAGATTCCTACGATAGATGTCGCCACGTTATAATATTTTAGTTTTAAAACCACTTGATCTATAATTTTAGTTGAGAAGAAGAAGAAGAATTGATTTTTTGACGTTTCTCTTTTTCGGGTTATGTTTTTTTTAAATTTAGATTATTGAAAATCAATGTTATTGTTATGTTATTTGTAATTGATCTTAGATAAGTGATTTATTAATAACGGACTCCAAAGCAGAGGAATCTTGTGGAATGGTTGGTTACATTGAACATTGGAGCTTTTAAACAAATAATAAGTACCACCTATAATTATAATCATATTTTGTCGTAAATGCATTTCATTAGTATAATGCCTAGTTCTTTATATTCTTTTAGATATATCTTGGACTCTAAAATATCAAACAGTAATATGATACCTCGTAATAAGGAAGATAGGTACTTAATGAATTTGGTGACCATCTTTCACTCAACTGACAGTGAAAGTATTTGTACATAACCTCTTCGGGTATTTTCTGACATAACCGAATGAAATCATTAACAGGACAACTTGACAACAGGGTAATTTTCAACCAATAGAAATCTTAGAATGTTGGTCACATGGCGAGGTTTGTGACGTCATAAAAATTTATATTTTTTGTAAATATCTCGAAAACGGTAAACTCAATTGAAATTCTGATTTCACAGAAATGTTTAATATTACAAAACGCCTTAAATAAAACCATAAAAAGTATAGGTCAGAAAAAATTTAACTACCCCATTGTTGTTATAGCAAGTAAGTGTACCTTCATTTCTCCCTTTAAAATAGAGTTTCAAGTGAGTGTATTGTTTTAAGAAATTAGTACCTTCTTCATTCCACTTATACCACAGTTAAAACTCTTGAAAAGACAATGGTTAATATTTCCATTCCTCAAATAAATCCTTTACACCTGATTTATTTATTTTTTGGACCTGTTGTTGGCCTTGTACATATCCCCGGGCGTTATTTGTTGCATAACGCGCCCCTTCGTTGACCCTCTAGACGCGTTCCCCCTCTCGTCATGCATAAAAAGCGACTTTAACCATTTCCGGCACGGATAAAATAAAACACCACGAAATCTAGTGGTTCGACTGGTTGGCCGTCTATGATTGAATTTTGATTTAAATTCGAATTCCCACGTACATAGGTATATTCGTTATTGATATTGAAGAAAAACTAATTAAATTTTTATAGGCACTCGCTCTTATAGTCTTGACCGATACACCCCTTTTAAGATTCAATCTGCTTACCCCTTTATTGGACTTCTACGTAAGTATAAAAAAAAATCAACAGGTTATAGTGTTATCTATCATCTTTTTTCTACTCATGCACTAAAAAAAGGTGCCCTTAAACTAAAGTGGTCAACTCTCTTAATACAAAATTATTAGCGGCAAGAAACAATATTTTGGCATAAAAGAGTATTTATTTCTTATTTTCTAAGAAAAAAGTTCTTAGTGGAAAAAGTATAGTTCTCTTGAATGTTTGTTTTATTTGCTCTAAAATCAAAATAAAATGTGCTTATAGCTCTTGGCCCTATTTAAAAACGCAAATCTTTTAAATCAAAGTAATTTTCATTTCTTTTAAGAGGTTATTTTTTGTGTAGTTTTTTATTTCGTTGGATTTTTTTTTCTTTCTATCTAACGATGTAAAATTTCAAGATGGTGGTGGTAACTCAGAATCTAGTTGGCAAAAAATCACAAATTGGATGAAAATGTGGATAAATATGAATGTATAGGTACGTGTAAATTTCCTTTTTTTCAAAATTTCCAGGAATAACGAAGTTATAATGATTTTTGGTTTTGACATGTTTTCAGTTTTTAAAAATTATTTTTTAATTTTTAAACGCCATTTTAATAGACCTATCTTTGACTTACCCATACATACAAGTAGGGTTGGGAAAATTTCACTTTTTGCTTGTACTTGAAATTTCACTTGAAATTTTCATGACATTTATGAAATTCATTAAAATTTCCTAAATTTCTGAAATTTCATGAAATTTATGAAATTTATTAAAACTTTCAATAAATTTCAATCACTTTAAGTATAATATATTAATATTGAAATAAGCCCACTCGGGGACCATGGCAAATTGCCTCTCTTACCTCCTACCCCTCTGTGGGCCCCTGCACCAATAATATAAATAGTAAATACCTATGTTTACCACAAATTTCTTGAGATTTCCTTTTAACATATTTTTAAAATTAAAAAACTAAAAGGGATATAGCACTTTTTGGTAAGCTAATGAGATTGTGCCACTTTCATTGTTTTATATTTATATATATATATTTATTATTTTTATATATTTTACTGAAATTTTACTAAAATTGAAGAAACTTCATCAAAATTTTATGAGCCAAAGGCATTTTTTATCCGTTTTCCGATGCAATTATAGCAAAAGTAAAAGTTTAAATTAATCATGACTTTTAAAAAAAATTTAAAGTCTGATTTAATTTACAAATTAAATTGGTAACTGAATTAAATTATTTAAATTAATTTATGCATAAGTAACAATAATTACTTATAGTGTATTCAAATCCAAGCCGCTTGATAACTCGTTCTTATTGGTCGATTCGGAATCTGTTTTAAATTATTATTAAAGGTCCCAGGGGAGGCCGCATGTGAAATTTATGCGAAATTTTCAGTAAATTGCGAAACTTTCAATGAAATTTCTGAAAGTTTCACAGGCAAAGTTAAAATTTTCATTTGAAAATTTCAACTGTCACAACCCTACATACAAGGATACTTGGTGCACCCTGTATACATAATACCTATGTAGTAAAAAATTAAGGAAAACTAAAAATTGTTGTTATCAAAATTTAAACATAAAAAATTATAAATAATCATCAACAAAAATTGTATATATAAAACAAAGGTTTGTAAAATTTAATATAAAATTTGTAGGTAGTTAACTAATTCTAAAATCTACCTACAAAATATGTATTCAAGGTAAACAGAATAATTCCCTTAAACAAAGCCCAACCTGACGCGTGAAAAAAAAATCCAAAACAACAAAATTCTCATAGTTGTCATAGACTTGGAACCCAAAAAAACCACGTCGACTCCTTCCATCCTTCTCCCTCTCATGCACCCGCAACCAGAATGAAAATAGACAAAACGTAGGAAACATACGAAACATACAGTGAGTGAACGTAATAACCCCATGTCGTAATGAAGCTGCTGGGTCATCGCCCCTAAAATGCCTATACTGCCTGTTGATGTTCTCAAAACGTTGCATAGAACTGCCTAGCCTTACTATGCGACTTTATATCTATAAACTAAGCATCTATTTTATCAAAGACATGTGGCATTGCAAGAAATCATTAAAAGAAAAAATAAATTTACCATAAAAAATGCCATATCTTTAAAAGTATTCATTTTATAGCAAAATATCATATACAAAAAATATGGAGAATTTTATTCTCTACAATAAATGTTTAAACAAGTTTTGTCCAAAAACAACCAGAATTCAAGATATTTTACGAAAACAAAACTAAAAAACAAAAACATAATAAATAAAACTTTACTATAAAAAATTTAATGCTTTATCATAAAACATATTTATATAACTTTTATCCAGAAATCAAGATATTTAACAAAAACTAAGCAAAACGAAACATAATGCAGGCTATTATTTACCTGGATGAAGTTTGAATCAAATCATTCCAGTGTAATACAATACTTTATCTACTCCAATAAGTATATAATTAAATGTTTTCCAAAAACGGAATTAGATAAAGTATATAACTTAATACATAAAAATCAGGATCAAAACCCAAAATTGTTATGCTAAAAATATGAAATAAAAAGGAAATATTACTTAATATTTTCAATGTTTATTATATTTGTGTAATATTTTATAGATAAACAAGCTCCCTAAATGCATGTTTGTTCTTGCCCCAAGATAAGTTGCTTACATAAATATATCTTCAAAATATGTTTACCTTTTCCTCGCTTATCTAACGATAAAATATTGTAATGTTTCGTTTTAAATATTTCTTATTAAATGGTTTAAAATTAAAATTTTTTCCCGATATTAACAACAGAATTTGATTTACCTACAAAAGTGCTAAAATGACTACTTTAAACCAAATACGTCAAATAATTAATTTTATTTATGTTGCGTTCATAATGACTTCATTATAACACCGCTTTCGGTGCTGTAATGAGATACTTTATCCCACCCAAAATTTTGATTTTGTAGGTTGGCTATACTTTAAACAGCATAATATTTTGCATATTTGTTATATATTTTTATGATTTTTCCAATACTTACAAGACTTTTCTGGCAATAAATTTTGTTTAACATCAAAGAAAATCCTTTTTTTCTTGTTTAACATTAACAGCCGCTTATTGTGAATAAGTAAATTAAGGACGGCATGGCGAATCGATTTTGACATTAACTGTCAAATCAATGACTGTGATAACTATCTAAAGTAAAATTAGACCAAATTAAATTTAAGGTATAAAATTAATTTCTTTTATGAAATCTTTGCAAAATAGATAAAATAGCATAAAGAACTCATGTCATAAGACTTTTTGTCGCACTCGTCCATTATAAATTGTCCGCGTGCGACAAAATGACGTCTTATGACATTAGTTCTTTAATATACTATTTTCTACTCCTATACGGAATA